CAGAACGCGCCTGATCGCATCTGATTTTGGAAGCTAAGCAGGGTCAGGTCGGGTTAATACTTGGATGGGAGACCGCCTGGGGATACCAGGTGCTGTAGGCTTTTTTTAAATAAATATTTTTTAAATTGTAAAAAAATAAAAATAAAAATAAAAAAATTAGCTGGGCTGTGGTGGCGGGTGCCTGTAGTCCCGGCTACTTAGAAGGCTGAGGCAGGAGGATTGCTTGAGCTCAGGGACTCAAGGCTGCAGTGAGCCATGGTCAAGCCACTGCACTCTAGCCTGGGTGACAAAGTAAGACCCTGTCAAAACAACAACAAAAATTTCAAATGCCTATAGATGCCATTGTGTCCTTGCTTAGAGGGACATGTTATTTAGTGACCTAGCTGGTTCCAAGTTTGAGACCTCTGCAATGACCATGGTCCCTGCCCAGGACGTCCTACCCCAAAGATAAGCCCACACTAGGATTCTTGGTGTTAGCATCTCAGCTCAAATGTCCCTTCTCCAAAGGCTCTGACCAGCTAATGACTCTCCACCATCACTCTGCTTAAGTGTTTCTCTGCCATCTGAAAGAAACTGGCTCACTGTCTGTTTCCTTCTTCTAGAACAACAGCTTCATAATTGCAGGGCCCTTCCCCGGCTTGTTTTGCCGTTGTTTTATCCCAAGAGCCTACAACAGAGTAATGTCTGGCACAAAGAAAATGTTCAATAAATCTTTGCTGACTGAAGGATTGTTTGATTTTTATTTTTCCCTAAGCGAAGCCAGGAATAGAAGCCCATGGGAAATCTTGCCATTTTTTAATGTGAGCAGTACATTCAAACACAACAAACATCCCCAGACCAACTGTATGGAGCAAACAAAACACATCTGGGAATGGGTGGTTGTTCTCAATTCCCAGATCAGCCCGTTATTCCATTCAGCCACATTAAGTCTTGGCATTGAAGCAGGAATCCACAAAAATCGAATAAACTGGAAAAGGAAGGAGATCTGGAGTCTGAAGGAATCATGTTTTGTATCTCCCCCTTCCCTAGGATGTCCCAGGAATGTGGGAAACACTCTACTGAGCAAAAGTTCCTTTCTGATAAAGACTGGAGCCCTCGCCTCCAGGGTTGCATTGAGAATAATGGTGTAAAATGCTGGTTTATAGGAATACCTGTTTTCCTAATGGATAAGCTCAGCTAAGAATGAATAGATAAAAACCCTTCTTTTCTTTTTTTCTAAAGGATCTAAGTTGTGATCCTGTTTTTCTTCCCCTTCCATTTAGGAAAACTTCAAACTGCATGCTAGAAATGGCTGGGCTGCCAGATAGCACCACATGTGCACGGCGTACTGCAGAGGCAAGCCTGATGCTGTGGAAGCTTCTAGTAAAGCACATTCTGCACCTGCCTGGTGTATTCAGGGTGTGTGTTTGTGCATGTGTGTGCGTAAAAATACTTTTAAAAGGGTGATTCAAAGGAAAGGGCAAGAAGAACCATGACATTAAAAATGTGATACATGGCTGCCTGTGTGCCTGGTGCTTGAGGTAAATGATCACCCTTAGGTCTTAGGCAACCTTGGAGGGGAGATTTTACAGATCTCATACTTGAGCTCAGAAGCATTAGGTCCAGAGACATTAGAAATTTGCTCAAGGACAGGCTCTCTCCTGACATTTACAGAACTTGAGACGTTTCAGACCTGATGAATGCACAAAACTACATTCAAAAGGAAAAAAAAACATACAAAGTGTTGCTCTTCTTTTAAAAAATCACATGTTGAGTGCAAATATATGAGATTATAGCTCATACAAAAGCATAAAACCAAACTTACAAAAGAAACAAGAAACAAAGCTACAGTTTCCAAATAAATTTCTTTTTTTTTCTTTTTTTTTTTTTGAGACGAAGGTTCGCTCTTGTTACCCAGGCTGGAGTGCAATGGAGCGATCTCCGCTCACCGCAACCTCTGCCTCCTGGGTTCAGGCAATTCTCCTGCCTCAGCCTCCTGAGTAGCTGGGATTACAGGCATGCGCCACCATGCCCAACTAATTTTTTGTATTTTTAGTAGAGACGGGGTTTCACCATGTTGACCAGGATGGTCTTGATTTCTTGACCTCGTGATCCACCCGCCTCGGCCTCCCAAAGTGCTGGGATTACAGGCTTGAGCCACCGCACCTGGTGTATAAATTTCGAATTAAAAACATCAACTTAATGGTGTACCTGATGACGTACTGTTACCTGTTGAGGGTACCTGTCTAGGTTTCTGGCGTTTTGAACAAAGAATTGGACAAAACGCACAAGGAAGACAGCCAAACCAGAGGTTTAATTTAAAGGCGAGTACACCACCGAGTGGGAGCGGCTGCTGCAAGTGGTTCAGGAGCATTGTTTACAGAATTTTCTGAGGTTTAAATTCCTTCTAGCAGTTTCCTACTGGTTCACTCTAGTAGCCCATGACCAGTCTAACTGGTTGCGGGTGGGGACCCATCAGAGGGCCTTTCATTTTCCAACAGCCAGGCAGCAACTGCCATGTAGAGAAAGGAGGAGTTAAAAAATAGCTTCTGGGCCATAAAAAGTAGCTCACGCCTGTAATCCCAGCACTTTGGGAGGCCGAGGCAGGAGAATCACTTGAACCTAGGAGGCGGAGGTTGCAGTGAGCAGAGACTGTACCACCACTCCAGTCTGGGCGACAGATCAAGACTCAAAAAAAAAAAGGAGCCTCTGGGCCAGGCGTGGTGGCTCACACCTGTAATCTCAGCACTTTGGGAGGCCCAGGTGGGCCAATCCCCTGATCTCAAAAGTTCCAGAAGAGCCTGGCCAACATGGTGAAACCAGTCTCTACTAAAAAATCAGCTGGGTGTGGTGGTGGATGCCTGTAATCCCAGCTACTTGGGAGGCTGAGGCAGGAGAATTGCTTGAACCCGGGAGGTGGAGGTTGCAGTGAGCTGAGATCACACCACTGCACTCCAGCTTGGGCAAAAAAGTGAGGCAAGACTCCATCTTTAAAAAAAAAAAAAGAAAGAAAAGCCTCTGATATCCGGTCAGCTGAGTCAGCCTTAGCTTCTCTACCCCAGCCCGATTCTCCTGCCTCAGTATTACTGAACTGAACTTGAACTTGCAACATACACATGAGATCCATGGTTAGGTGGGGCTTCTTCCCAGCTCGGCAGGACTATGATTCAATTCTTCCGCCACGTTTCTCAAACTGAACTGTAAACCATTCAACACACTTCAATTCCACTTGTCCTTATTATGCTGTTGCTATATCATGTGCACATTACATCTACCATGGTTCCTTCTCATTTGTCCTATTCTATCCAACAGTGTGTTCATAAATGCAGATCCAGGCAATAATATTATCTGATCATTTTAAATTTTCATGTTAAGTTTTGAAAGATCATGATCAAACCCCAAACTCCAAATTTGAAAATCCTTGCAGATAATTCCCAGGCCTCAAAGAAGTGGTCTGGATCTATAGGCTTCAGTGGGAAACACTGAATCTTACTGGTAAACCTCGGATACCTGGGAGTTTCATCTCTCCCCTGTACCCATCCTCAGGGTCCTCACCTGCAAGGTGTGGATAGCACCGGGTGCTGAAAAGACGGTGTTCAGCCAGGAGAAAGGAGAGAGCAGAGCCGGGTAGCACATTAGGCCCACACACACTAGACAAACACACCAGAGACTTATGTTCCTGCTGTTCCTCTATTCTGAACTTTAAAGTTATTTGGAAGTTCAATCCCAAACAATGATATTTCCAAATACGGAACAGCTGGTCAGGGATGGGCCCCGGCCAATCACACTGGCAGGGCCATTCCAGCTAGATAGCAGCCTTGGGTGAGACTGGGATGTTAAATTTAAAAACATTAAGGCTTTCCTGTACCTGTCCTCTTATCATGCTTCCAAAAAAATCACAAACTGCACATGGGCTAAATAATAGCAGCGATGATGCTGATGAGAGCAGTGAACACATACAGAGCCTTTCCCAAGGGCCAGGCTCTGCTGTGGGCACTCTCTATGTGAGGGAGGGGCTGGGGCTATTATGATCCCCATTTTATATATGAGAACACTGAAGCCCAGCGAGGTGAAATGACTTGCTCACAACCACACAACCAGTAACCAGAGGAGAAGCCGGCATCCAAGACTGAGCCGGCTCAGTGGCTGGGCTGCATGCTGCCTCTATTCTCTTCACAAACGTTATCAGCTGGATCTCATCCAGTGCGATATATACATCTATCAAAAATATTTCTACCTTTTAAACGCCCACTCAAGTGGAGGCAACTGGAAACAGGTGATATTTAAAAGTACTGAATTCTGAAATATAGTGGCTTTACTTTCCCAGTTATTTTTCACCCAGGTTAATATAAGAATGAGTGTATTTGATGCTGTCCTTAAAATCCAGGCCTGGCTGGGTGCGGTGGTTCACTGCCTGTTATCCCAGCACTTTGGGAAGCCAAGGCGGGAGGATAACTTTAGGCCGGGAGTTCGAGACCACCCTGGCCAACATGGTGAAACCCCCATCTCCACTAAAAATGCAAAACTAAGCTGGGTGTGGTAGCACATGCCTGTAGTCCCAGCTACTTGGGAGGCTGAGGTAGGAGAAACACTTGAACCTGGGAGGCAGAGTCAGACTCTAACTCAAAAAAAAAAAAAAAAAACAAAACAGCCAAATAGCAGCAAACTAAGAGGGCCTTGAGGCATCTGGGTGATGGGGAAAGCTTTCAGGAAGACACAAATTTGCCAAAATGATCCGCGAAGTGAATACTCCGTAAGCGGTAACTAAGACTGAAGTGTAAATAAAATCTCTACACTCCAAGACCACAAAAGCTACACCAAGCATGGGAAATTCTAGTTCCACAGAAAAAGATATGTTAAGGGACTGAAGTCCCAATGAATAGAGTTTTTAAACAAAAGCACCCCCTGAACCCCACTATACAAGGGCTAATATGATGCTGTTATTTTCTGAAAGTTCTCATTTTTGGGGGAGATGAACACAAAGGCTTAATGATTCCTAGGAATGGACTGATAACACAAGATTGTTTTTTGCGTTGCTAGGCAACACTGAAAAATAAATGTCAATGTTCTGAGATCACAGCTTGGTTCTTCTCCCAGGGTCAGGAACAGGGTTCCCCAGTCTTCCTCCGCTCCACCCGGAGAACAGGAGCGGTACAGAGCCACTGCCATGCTGAGAGTCCACAGTGGCCACAGATACCAACTGGCATTTCCAAGGACAAATCACAAGTTGACTGCCTGGCTGCCAAGATCTTCGGCGAGACAAAGTTTTCACTTACCTGTCATCACACCCAGACAAGTCCCATGTTCTCAGTGTTCTCTGCTACCTGCAATCACTTCAATCGCTTTTTTTGGAGGTAAACTGCCCCTCTTCCCCCTGGCTGTCTCATTAAAGCACCATTCACTCCTAAGAGTGATTTTAACATTTGGGAAAGTACAGACATGTTTCCTGGGAGTTAATTATTTCTAAGCATTAGCTTTGACTCTGAATATTTCCACTGTAAAAAGGCCTATTTCCAATCACATCTTTCTCACGGATATATTGATATTTTCTTAGCTGAGTTGAATTCCTCCTTGAATGCTCTGAACTTCTGCATCTATTGTTTTCCAAAAAATTCAAGATGATGTCTGGGGTTCTAAAATCACATCACACATCTAGGCACATACTTGTTAGAGAAATGAACTCCTGTTTTTCATTCTAACTTTCGCCCACACAGTGTAGGATGGTTTATCTCTATAAATCAATTAACCACCTCAGTATTCCCATCTGGGTTATTTCACCTAGACATGTGGCTTGTCATATATATATAGATAAAGATAAGCTAATATTATAATAATTATTTCATTGAAGACTATTTTTTTTTTTTTTGGAGATGGAGTTTCACCCTTGTTGCCCAGGCTGGAGTGCAATGGCGCGATGTTGGCTCACTGCAACCTCTGCTTCCGAGATTCAAGCGATTCTCCTTCCTCAGCCTCCCGAGTAGCTGGGATTACAGGCATGTGCCACCACGCCTGGCTAATTTTTGTATTTGTAGTAGAGATGGGGTTTCTCCATGTTGGTCAGGCTGGTCTCGAACTCCCAACGTCAGGTGATCCACCCGCTTTGGCCTCCCAAAGTGCTGGGATTACAGGTGTGAGCCACTGCTCCTGACTGAAAACTATTTTTTAAAGAGCAGATTTAGATTCGCAGCAAAACTGAGAGGAAGGAGCAGATAACCTGCACACAGCTCGGACTCCCTCTTGATCAATATCCCCTATGAGAGTGGTACCTTCGCTACAACTAATGAGCCTGCATTCACACCCAGCCCATCATTTACATGTTCAATAGTATTTTCATTTTAAGTTGTGAACATAATCTTGTGCTTTAAGAACTCCCACTGTTTGCCGCCCTTCCCCCAGCCCAATAAAAAACCCAATGAAATGGAAAAACAATCTTGGATTTGTATTTGAAATCAAGCTCCATCTTCAACAGCAAGTTATCTGTGACTTAGGTAAAAGGACTAATTAAATAAACTCGGCATGGCTGTAATGTTCACCATCTGAAGTGGAGACAAATCTACTACACACCAATTATGAGTGGGTGTTCCTGAGAGCCTGATACATATGCAGCGTACATGGTAAGAGGCTGGTTCAGTAACCACCATTTCTATAGCAACCCACACACACTCGCATGCTGCGTTTTGGGAAGGCAGTTAAAACTGGATTCTACAATGTATCTTCACTCTTGGAATATGCTTTTATCTCTATCATCTTAAAAGAATGAGAGCATCCAAATCATATAACCCAAATTGCCATTAAACAGCAGAAATTTTTCAAATATGGGATCCATAAATCTTGATTTTTTTTTTTTTTTTTTTGCCACTTGATGTCCATCGTTTTAAATTCAAACCACTGACCTGATTTGTTTGTGACCATTCCCCAGGGCAACAAATCAGATGTCAGTCTGACAACCTGTACATTAGACAGCCATCTGCTGCCCCAGTTACAGGATAAAGAAAGGGTAAATGTCTGTAAAATAGAGCTGACATAATCATCTCTTACTGTCCAGAAAGGCTCAGCTAAGAGGCATTCACCATGACTAACAAAACTTCCTTTGCCAGACATGGGAAGGAAGACAGCTTCTTTCAAAGGTCAAACTGGCCACTGTACAATAAATACTCACTTTATTGATTTATTTTTATTTTTAAATTTTTTTTGAGATAGAGTCTCACTCTAATGCCCAGGCTGGAGTGCAATGGTGTGATCCTGGCTCTCTGCAACCTCACCTCCCAGGTTCAAGGAATTCTCCTGCTTCAGCCTCCCAAGAAGCTGGGATTACAGGCACCTACCTACCATGCCTGGCTCCAGCTAACTTTTGTAGTTTTAGTAGAGATGGGGTTTCACCATGTTGGCCAGGCTGGTCTCAAACTCCTGACCTCAAGTGATCTGCCCACCTTGGCCCCCCAGTGCTGGGATTACAGGTGTGAGCCATGGCACCCGGCTACATACTCACTTTAATTCCTTCCCCTCACATACATCTGGACACCCAGGACACAGAGAGGGCACAATTGGATCCGAACATTTTCCGCTAATTCTTTAAGGAAAAGAGATACACTAAATAAATACTCCCTTGCTCTACAAATCAAAGCATTTTAACAAAATAGCTTTAGCAAAACCTGTAAATGTGACAAAATTCTCAATTCCAGTATGAGTATCCTTTATCCAAGATGCATTTTGGATTTTGGAATATTTCATTATACTTACCCATTGAACATACTTAATCTGAAAATCCAAAATCTAAAATGCTCCAGTGAGCATTTCCTTTGAGCATGACCTTTGAGTATCGTGATGGCCCTCAGAAAGTTTTGGATTTTGGAGCATTTCAAACCTTGGATTTGGGATGCTTAACTTACATATACTACTCATGCTTCTTAAAAAAAAATCATTTCATGCTGGGCTTGGTAGCTCATGCCTGTAATCCCAGCACTTTAGGAGGCCAAGGCAGGCACATCACTTGAGGTCAGGAGTTTGAGACCAGCCTGGCCAACATAGTGAAAACCTGTCTCTACTAAAAATACAAAAATTAGGCTGGTGTGGTGGCAGGCACCTGTAGACCCAGCTACTTGGAAGGCTGAGGCAGGAGAATCACTTGAACCCAGGAGGTTGCAGTGAGCTGAGATTGTGCCACTGCACTCCAGCCTGGGTGACACAGTGAGACGCCATCTCTCTCTCTCTCTCTCTCTCTCACACACACACACACACACACACACACACACAAATCATTTTTATCGAGGGTCCATATAGCAATTAGACAACTCAGGATTGTTGTAACATACTAAACAAATTCAATGTTACTTGTTTTCTAAGATGGTGTTGATCTAGTAGACCACCTTCTAATGAATATACAGGTTGAAATATGAAGATTCCAATTTATAGAATGGGAAATTCTTTGCCTGTTCCAAAAGAAAAAATTATGATAACCATGATACATGGCAGCATCAGAAACGGATTCCACTCTCACAGGTTTTGAAAGGGAGCATTTCTAGTTCTCTCTCCTAAGAGGAAACTTTCAACTACCTGACAGTCAAGGATTAAAGTTTGCAAGTTAGCGTTAAAACATGGATATACTGAGTTAGTGTTAAAATGTGATTTTGAGGCAGGGTGGTGGCTCACAGTCATTGTAATCCCAGTGACCTGGGAGGCTGAGTTGGGAGGATCACTTGAGGGCAGGAGTCTGAGACCAGTCTGGGCAACATAGCAAGACCCTGTCTTTACAATTTTTCTTTTTTTTACAAATTAGCTGGGCATGGTGGTGCACGCATTTTGTGCCAGCTACTCAGGAAGCTGAGGTGGGAGGATTGCCTGAGCCCAGGAGTTCTAGCTACTATTGTACCATTGCACTCCATCCTGAGTGACAGAGCAGGATCCCTTCTTTAAACAAACAAACACTACCACATGACTGTATCGTTTGAACAGAAGTCCCAATCAAACCATAATAGAATTTCATCTTTCTTTACAGAGTTTGAGGTCTGGCGCTGCAATGAAGGTGCTGTCACTCTCAGCATCAACTGTCAACCCTGGCAAAATACAGGGGGGCTGTCAGCTAACAGGCAATATGAAAGCTGTGGCTGTCTGGGCACCCCCTTTGCTCCTGTCGTGTGTGGAATACACTTGCACTGTAATATTGGAATGGAAAGAACTTTCTTTTGGAAACCATTTAGACCAGAGGTCTCACAATTTTTTTTTTTTTTCTGTAAGAGGCCAGATAGTAAATATTTTTGGTTTGCGGGGATGTAAGTCTCTGTTGCAGTGATTCAACTCTGCATTGTGGTGCAAAACACTCACCGACAATATGCCAGCAGATGGGCCTGGCAAGGTTCCAGTGAAACTTTATTTAGGGATGCTTACATACGAATTTCATAGTTTTCATGTGCCATGAGCTATTCTTCTCCTTTTGATTCTTTATTTCCCTCGTATTTATTGACGTATAGTTGCAAAATAAAAATTTTATATAATTAGGATGCCTGACCTGATGTTCTGATATATACATTAAGCTAATGAATATATCCCTCACTTGACAGTTACCATTATTTTTTCATCTTCTTTTTCTTGGTGGTGAGAACACTTCGAATCTACCCTCTCAGTACATTTTAAGTATACAATACAGTTGTATTAACAACAATTACCAGGCTTTGGATTACATCTCTGGAACTTAATTACCCTTTGATCAACATTCCCCCATTTGATTTTTTCCTTCGATCATTCAAAAATATAAAAATGAGGCCAGGCGCAGTGGCTCACACCTGTAATCCCAGCACTTTGGGAGGCTGAGGTGGGTGGATCACGAGGTCAGGAGATCGAGACCATCCTGGCCAACATGGTGAAACCCCGTCTGCTAAAAAAAAAAATTGGTTGGGTGCCTGTAGTCCCTGTGACTCAGGAGGCTAAGGGTGGAGAATCACCTTAATCCAGGAGGCAGAGGTTGCAGTGAACCGTGATCACGCCATTGCACTGCAGCCTGGTGACAGAGCAAGACTCGGACTCAAAAAAAAAAAAAAGTAAAAATGATTTTTAGCTTTCAGGCCACAGTTGTTGGCCAATGCCAATTTGGATGATAAATTATTAATAGATTCACAAGTTGCTATCTGTGCTATTTCTGGCTGTTAAACAACTTGGAAGTAGCAATTATTTTAATTTACCTCAAAAATAGATAATTTGAAGTATTAAATAATTTGAGGTGATTACTGTAATCATAAATAGCAACTAATTATTAAATTGTTTTATGTGCTTAAGATGTGTTCGTGCATTCCCCATTTTTTTCCTGATCTATAATACTGTCTTTAGAATTTTTCAACTAAAATATTTTAATTTCTACTTAGATAATATTATTATTAATTAAATGTAATAGCAACAAAAGCCTTATGAAATATGTGGGCTTCCATTGAGTTTAATAAGTTAAAAAACAGATGGTTTCTTTGAAATGCCTATCTTATCTTAAAGCTTTCAGTAAAACATACCTTAATTCATTTGGTTATTTTTGAATGACTATCCACAAACGTTGACTTTTTCTCTGCATACATGCAATCTATTACAGTCAGGAATTTGGCAGTTACATTTTTCGCAGTAAATGCAAAGTTAAAAAGACCATTTAGGCTGGGCATGGTGATTCATGCCTATAATCCCAGCCTTTTGGGAGGTAGAGATGGATCACTGGAGGCCAGGAATTTGAGACCAGCCTGGGCAACACGATGAGACCTTGTCTCTACAGAAAATAAAAAATAAAAAAATTAGCCAGGTGTGGTGGTATGTGTAGTCCCAGCTACTCGGGGGGCTGAAGGTGGGAGGATTGCTTGAACCTGGGAGGTCGAGGCTGCAGTGAGCTGTGACTGCACCACTGCACTCCAGTCTGGGCAACAGTTAAGATCTCATCTCAAAAAAAAAAAAAAAAGACCATGGTGAAACCCCATCTCTACTAAAAATACAAAAAATTAGCTGGGCATGGTGGCGCGTGCCTGTAATCCCAGCTATTCAGGAGGCTGAGGCAGGAGAATTGCCTGAACCCAGGAGGCGGAGATTGCGGTGAGCCGAGATCGCGCCATTGCACTCCAGCCTGGGTAACAAGAGCGAAACTCCGTCTCGGAAAAAAAAAAAAAAAAGACAACTGAAGTGGAAATAGATCAGCTATGCAATGAAGATTCCCAATAAAATAAATAATAAATAAAATTTAATAATAATTAATAAATAAATAATAAATTTTAAAAAGGACCCATTCTCATGAGTATTTTTTTTCTAGAGAGGAATCAGAGAATGGGCTAACTATACTTCAGAGGCTTCCTAACAATGCACGCACCTCTGTCTTCACCAACGTCTGTATTGCATTTCTTTCCTATTGCTGCTGTAAAAAATTACCACAAATATAGGGCCTTAAAACAGCACAGATTTACTTTCTTACACTCCTGGAGGTCAGAGGTCTAAAATCAGTTTCTCTGGTCTCAAGTCCAGGAGTCCGCAGGGCCGGTTCCTTCCAGAGGCTCAGAAGGGAGAATCCCTTCCTTGCTGTTTTTGGCTTCCCGTGGCTGCCTGTATTCCCGCATTTCCAAAGTGCGTGGCTCCAGCCTGCACTCCCGTCATCACCCTTCCGTCTCCTCCTCTGATTTTGGCTCCTCTTGCATCCTGCTCTTAAGGGCCATTGTGATGGTCGTGGGCCCATCTGGGAAGTCCATGAGAATCCCCCCATCTCCAAATTCTTCATCACTTCCTCCAAGTCCGTTGACCATATAAGGTAATATTCACAGGGCCCAGGGATTAGGATGCAGAGATATTTCCAACTGCCATGTACATCAGAAACTTTTTAAAGTAAGGTTGTTTGTGAACTGTATATAAAGCCCACCAAGGAAAGCAAAGATGCTTCTTTTATACAACTGTGCCATGTGGTTGTGGTACACGTGACCCACACAGGAATCCCTAGGAACGGCTTCCTCGCAGTAGGAGCCCCAGCCCTATTCCTCCATATTCAAATACACTCATTAAAAAAGAGACTGCGAAAACGAGAAGGAGAATACAAACAGCAGGGATGGAGGCTCCAAGACGGAAGAAAATCCAATAGAACTGCCCTCCCTCTAAACAAGAGCTTAAAGCATCATCCTATAAAGGGCACGTATACATAGATATATAAAGGTAAATTCTACGTATAGAGTAAACCTAAGTACAGATGTTATATCAGAGTATCTTAAATTGCCTTTTAAAGATAACTAAATTGACTGGGCATGGTAGCTCACACTTGTCATCACAGGACTTTGGGAAGCTGAGGCGAGTGGATCACTTGAGCCCAGGAGTTCGAGACCAGCCTAGGCAACATAGTGAAATCCCATCTCTACTAAAAAAATTACAAAAATTAGCCCAGAGTGGTGGCAGGTGCCTGTAATCCCCGCTATTCGAGAGACCGAGGCATGAGAATCGCTTGAACCTGGAGGAGGAGGTTGCAGTGAGCTGAGACCTTGCCACTGCACTCCAGCCTGGGTGACAAAGTGAGACTCCAACTCAAAAGATCCCCCCAAATTAGCTGGGCATGGTGACCACACTTGTGGTCCCAGCTATTCAGGGGGCTGAGGTGGAAGGACTGCTTCAGCTCGGGAGATCGAGACTGAAGTGAGCTATGATCTGTCACCACTGCACTCCAGCCTGGGTGACAGAGGGAGACCCTGTCTCTTAAAAACAAAAGAAAACAAAAAACCCTAAAATAATTCTTGGGTGATTCAACCATTCAAGAGACATTTTAGTGGGTACCTAACATTATGCCAGAAACTGTTCTTGATCACAAGCATTCAAAGATAAATAAGACTCGGCGAGGGCACAGCGAGTAACCAGTACCCGAGTAGACTCACGGAGGGTGCAGGGAGTAACTTGTACCTGCACAAACTCAGGTAGGGCAAATGGAGTAACTGGCAACCGTACAGACTTGGCAAGGTTGCAGGGAGTAACTGGTACCAGCACAGACTCAGGAAGGGGACAGGGATAACTGCTACCAGGATGGGCGCAGGGAGTAACTTGTTCCTGCACAAATTCAGGTAGGGCAAATGGAGTAACTGGCACCCGTACAGACTTGGCAAGGTTGCAGGGAGTAACTGGTACCAGCACAGACTCAGGGAAGGGGACAGAGGGTAACTGGTACCTGGATAGACACAGGGAGTAACTGGTACCCGGATAGACTCAGAGGGCACAGGGAGTAACTGGCACCCACACAGACTCAGGGAAGGGGACAGAGGGTAACTGGTACCTGTGTACAATGCCCTTGCAAGGTATGCAATGTGCTCAGGATGAGGCCGGAGAGGGGCTGAAAAGGATCGACTGTGCTTGTCAAAGTGACCAGCTGTGAGGGGATGTCAGCAAGCCCAGAAGGGGGAAACATCTTGTCTGGTGGGAATGGGTTGGGTCTGAGACAGTGGCTAGGAAGAGCTGGGAGGCTAGTGGGGCGTCTCTGAAGACACCTGTGGGTCCTGCTATGGCATCTGGGCTTCCTCACAAGGAGTTGCCCTTAGATATTCTCACAAACGAAAGTCATTTGTGTTTTTTTGTTTTGTTTTTTTTTGTGGAGACCGGGTCTTTCTCTGTTGCCAAGGCTGGAGAGTAGCAGTATAATCTCAGCTTGCTGTAGTTCAACTTCCCAGACTTAAGCAACCCTCCTGCCTTAGCCTCCCAAGTAGGCCCCTGGCTAATTAATTTTTTTGTTGTTGTAGAGACAGGATCTTTGCATGTTGCTCAGGCTGGTTTTGAACTCCTGGGCTCAAGTGATCCACCCACCACAGTCCCCCAAGTACTGGGATTACAGGCATGGGCCACTGTGCTTGTCACAATCAGCTGACTCTGAATGAAGCAGATCACTCTCCACGGTGAGGGAGGGCCTCATCCCATCAGTTGAAGGCCTTAAGAAGAACACCAAAGTCCCCCGAAGGAAGAGGAAATTCTGCCAGCTGACTGTCTTTGGACTCAAATTGCAGGATCAACTCTTCTCTGAATCTCTAGCCTGCTGGTCTACCTTGCAACTGGGGACTTGCCAGCCTTCCCAATTGTGTGAGTCAATCCCTTAAAATCAATCTCTCTAAATATAGATATCTCCTGTGGGCTCTGTTTCTTTACGGAACCCGGAAACACTCATTATAACGACAGTGGGTACTATTATTATTGCCGCATCACGGTGGAAGAAATTAGTACAGAAACGTTAAGTAACTTGGCCAGGGCCACACAGCCAGTGGGTGGCAGAGCTGGAACTCGGCCCCACTGTATGCCTAGACTCCCTCTTTTAGCCACACTCCCCGCTGCTTCTCAGTGCACTGATCTGGGTGTGCCTGTGTCCCCCTGGGAGGGCAAATGGGGACAGGCAGAATATACAAGGGGGTGTATATTCATACCTCTTACAAATGCAAATACAGGTATGTAATTTGTCCAAGGTGGGACTTACAGTTTTTGGTTTTTTTTTGAGATGGAGTTTCGCTTTTGTTACCCAGGCTGGAGTACAATGGTGCGATCTCGGCTCACTGCAACCTCCACTTCCTGAGTTCAAACAATTCTCCTGCCTCAGCCTCCCGAGTAGCTGGGACTACAGGCACGCGTCACCATGCCCAGCTAATTTTTTTTGTATTTTTAGTAGAGGCAGGGTTTCACCATGTTGACCAGGATGGTCTCGATCTCTTGACCTCGTGATCCACCCGTCTCGGCCTCCCAAAGTGCTGGGATTACAGGCGTGAGCCACCACGCCCAGCCCGGGACTTATAGTTTTATAAGTAGCAGAACCAGGTTTTCAGAAAACAAAACACAAGCTCTTTCCATTCTCTTGCCCACTTTCTCTGTGTGTTTTTTAAATCCATTTTCTTCCTCCTTTTAGAATTTCTGCATTCTTCAGAGACTCTCGGTCATAACCCCTCAGGCTGCTCCCTCCTGGATGACCTTGATGCCCTCCAAATGACCAGGCTTGCAGAGAACACACACCATCGATAAAGTGCCCATCTCACCTAGAGCAGGATATGTGAACAGACAGCATCGCGATCCACTTCACAATGTCAAGTTCACTACGGCTGGTAAAATCAATGCATTCCACACAAATAATTAGAGTCTCTACTAATTACTTGGAAAGTAAAATAAAACAAAACAAAAATGCCCCCGGCCCAAAAGCCCAACAGGTATTTCTTTTCAAACATAATTCCTAGATCTCTGTTTTAACTGATTCAAGAAATTAGGTATCTTTGAAAATACACCGATATCAAAAATCTCCTAGTTAACTCCATGCATGGTCTAACAGTTTTAAATTCTGAACTGGGTTATTTGAAAACTGATATTTTCTTTTTGTTGAGACAGAGTCTTGTTCTGTAACCCAGGCTGGAGTGCAGTGGTGCAATCTCGGCTTACTGCAGCCTCCGCCTCCTGGGTTCAATCGATTATCCTGCCTTAGCCTCCTGAGCAGCTGGGATTACATGTGCCCACTGCCACACCTGGCTCCGGCTAACTTTTGTATTTTTAGTAGAGATGGGGTTTCACCATGTTGGCCAGACTGGTCTTGAACTCCTGGCCTCAAGTGATCCACCTGTCTCGGCCTCCCAAAGTGCTGGGATTACAGGTGTGAGCCACCGTGCCTGTCCTACTATGCCATTTTAATTTACTCTTGGATCACTTGCTCAGGGGAAAGCAAACTGCTATGTAGTAAGCAGCTCTAGAGAGGGGCCCACGTGGCAAGGAGGTAAGCCCTCTGGGCAACAGCCGTCAAGGAAGTGAGGCCTGTTTTCAGCCGTGTGAGTCACACTCACTGGCCCCAGCTGAACCTTGCTGGAGGTGACCACAGCCTTGGCTGACAGCTTGACAGCCGCCTTGTAAGAGACTCTCAGCCCTACCACCCAGCTCAGCAGTACGTGGATTCCTGACCCCCAGAAACGGTGAGATGCTGGAGCTCACTGTTGTTCTTAGCTGCTAACTGTTAGGGTGGTGTGTCAGACAGCAGCCGGTCACTAATGCCTACGTGCACTGTGAGAGCCCTAGAGAGACAGAATTCAAGATACATGAGTGATTTTCTCTAGGTGGTAAGACTTACCAGGAATTTTTATTTCCTTTTGTTTTGTACCATTTTGGCAAATATTTTCCCTTTTTCAGAAAACAGGAAACACACACACACACACACACACACGACCAAGAGCAACCACATGACCTTCCAATGAATTAAAGGATAAAGATTAGGAAAGCTAGTATTAGCTCCGATAACCTTTATAGATTCTTTTCAAGTAAATTAGGTTAAATGTGCAAAACGAAAACGACAAACAAAAAATGAATTCCCAAGAGAGAACCCGAACGGCATGGTGAAGGGCGCCTTCCCCACGAGGAGCCACACAACGCAGCGTGAGCAGCAGCACTCACTGACTTCAAGGAAAGGAGGCTTCCATGAGCTTCTTAGAAGGAAAACCGAACAGTTAACGAAGCCATCTGGCAGCCGATCGTCAGCATAGAACTCTCGCTTACCCAGCTTCTGGTCAAACCGCCACGCCGCCACATACGCATTGTGCCTCAGGCTGCTCTGCGTGGCCAGGGGCACAGTGACATAGATGGGACCATCCACCAGCACTGGTGTTCCATTACTGCTCAGCAAGTGGACGCTGACGGCTGTGACTGGAGTCAGGTCATGCCTGGTGCTGTTTCCTAGAAGGAAGAGGCATTTTCCATCATTTGCATGTAAAGTACCCATGTGGGGCGGTGGAAACCTTTGCAAAAAAAGTAGTCGCAGCTGAGTATAGCTCCCCCTATATGCAGGGACTGCATTAAGCACTCTATATACATAACCCTCACCACAACCTGGGAAGCAGGTAAAATCCTCATTTTACACATAAAGAAACCTGCTCAGAGCGAGTAGTAATGGTAGGTGGTTTAAGGGCATACACTTACTCCAGGCTGAGCTGGAATCTAGGCTCAGGTTTGCTAATTTTTTTTTTTTTTTTTCTTGAGATCAAGTCTCATTCTGTTGCCCAGGCTACCGTGCAGTGGCAAGATCTCAGCTCACTGCAATCTCCACCTTCTGGGTTCAAGCGATCCTCCTGCCTCAGCCTCCCAAGTAGCTGGGATCACCACTCTGCCCTGATAATTTTTGTATTTTTAGTAAAGATGGGGTTTTGCCGTGTTGGCCAGGCTGGTCTTGAACTCCTGATCTCAGGTGAACCTCCTGCCTCAGCAATCCCAGGACTGCTAGGATTTGCTATTTATAATTATTGTGTTTTGCTTTCAAAAGGGATCTCAAAAGAGAAGGATTTTTCTATAATGTGAGACAAAGGTGTACGTGGAAATCACTGGAAATAATTTCTACACAAAGTGAGTCCCATGCAGGTGTTTAACTGCTTGGCAGATTACCTTCATGAAACCAAATGTTTTAGAGTAGAGGCTGCTTTTTTTTAAACATAGCAAATTTCTTCAAGGATTGCCTCAAAAATATTAACTTCTGCTAAAAAACACGCTACTGAGGACTGGACTTGAAATAGTTATGCATTCTTTTAGTTGCCATTGTTATTTTGGTCTGTTTAAAAGGACTCCAATATACTAATTATTCTCCATTAAAGGCCTTTGGTCCAAGCCAAAGCTTTAATGACTGCCTGCAGATAAATTAAGAGAATGCTTACGAGACCGATATATTTATGCACTCGAGCGATCCATTTTACATTTTCCTCCAGTGAAATACGGTATCACACAAAATATGCCATAACTTTACATCTTTCTTTGAGCAGAATGACAAAAACACAGTGACAAAAAATTTAAGCTGCGTATAATCTATATGACTTTTTATTTAGCTACTTACATACTTACCTACCTACCAACCTGAGCTAATGTAAACTTCCAATCTGGTCTAAACTTAAACATTTAAAGCAAACGTAGTGAATTTTAGAGTCTCAACAAGTTACATCTAAATCCTTTATAGAGCAATTTCCACACAGCTAACACCACTCTACCTTCTACCATTCATGTCTGTCTCTTTCTTAACAAAGGCCAAGGTTTGGGAATAGCGATTTCATGGACAGATCCAAGTTGGAATCGCAGGTCCAAGATTTGAAATCTTTTAGTCTGGTTATGTCATTTTATAGTTTAAAAAAACAAAAAAAGGCCGGGCGCGGTGGCTCATGCCTGTAATCCCAGCACTTTGGGAGGCCAAGGCAGGTGGATCACAAGGTCAAGAGATCGAGACCATCCTGGTCAACAAGGTAAAACCCCATCACTACTAAAAATACAAAAATTAGCTGGGCATGGTGGTGCATGCCTGTAGTCCCAGCTACTTGGGAGGCTGAGGCAGGAGAATTGCTCGAACCCAGGAGGCAGAGGTTGCGGTGAGCTGAGATCGTGCCATTGCACTCCAGTCTGGGTAACAACAGCAAAACTTCATCTCAAAAAAACAAGCAAACAAACAAACAAAAACAAAAAACCTCAGAATTCACCATGTTTCTGGTCCAAAGATTGTGTGGCTTGAGACATATATGCGTGAGCTGCTCAAAGGTGATGGGGAAGCCAAGCCAGGTCTACACTCTACTGCTCTAAGTTCTGTTAGAACGTCTCGAGAAGATAGAACTTACAACTACAGAAAAGCTGGCCAGGCGTGGTGGCACACGACTGTAACCCTGGCACTTTGGGAGGCTGAGGCAGGTCACTTGAGCCCAGGAGTTCAAGACCAGCTTGGGAAATATAGTAAAACCCCGTTTCTACAAAAAAATTACAAAAAATTAGCTGGGCATGGTGGTAGATGCCGACAGTCCCAGCTACTTGGGAGGCTGAAGTGGGAGGATGACTGGAGCCCTGGAAGTGAAGGCTGCAGTGAGCTGTGATCACACCACTGCAATCCAGCCTGGGTGACAGAGTGAGACCCTGTCTCAAAACAAAACAAAAAGAGAAACTAAAGAAGTGTTAAGTAAGTTTACACTTACTAGACTGTGTAAACAACTGAGAGATAATGTTTTCCATCAGAGAGTGCTGTTTTCTTTCATCAAACTCTAGACAGGATGTCCAAATAGGCAGGTAGCAGGTAGGAGGCAGGTAGAGGAGAAAAGCGCTAGAAATGGTGTCTCCCTTCTCTTCCCTCCTCCCCTTGCAATTCTCCCTTCCCGCACATTCCCAGCCAAGGAAGACCGTGTCCCGGTACCAGATCTGCCACGAACTGCCTATGTAATCTCCGAAAGTCACTCCATTCCTCTGGGGGTCTGTTTTTCTTACCTTCAGAACCAAGGAGGGTAGACTAGATGCCTTCCTGCACCTATGGAAATAAGTATCCTCAGCTTGAAACATTCAGAAGTAGAGCATTGCAGAAATGAGCGTATTAATGGACAGCAATATGCATTAGGTTCCTGGAATTTGTGTTCCTTTAATGTCCTCTAGCTGTCTTAAGACATTGTGGGCATTCTATCTGCCTTCTTGAGGCTTCTGTCCTTCCTCAGGGCTCCACTAAACGCCTGCTTCTCTATGCCTTCCCAATGGTTGTCCCTCTATATCCCATTTCTTTATTCTGCAACAGTTTTTTTTTTTTTTTTGAGATAGAGTCTTGCTCTGTTACCCAGGCTGGAGCACAGTGGTGCAATCTTGGCTCACTGCAGCCTCTGCCTCCTGGGTTCAAGCAATTTTCCTGGCTTAACCTCCCGAGTAGCTGGGACTACAGGCCGGCTAATCTTTTTTTTTTTTTTTTGTAGTTTTAGTAGAGATGAGGTTTCACTATGTTGGTCAGGCTGGTCTTGAACTCCTGACCTCAGTTGATCCACCTGCCTCAGGCTCCCAAAGTGCTGGGATTACAGGTGTGAGCCATCATGCCTGGCCTATTCTGCAACAATTCACACTTTGAAGGGCTAAACTATTTTCCTTCTCTCTGTTACAAAACTCTAATTTTACGCAAAGTACTGAGTTCTATACAGAAAGTGGTTTTCCTTCCTGTTTCGTCTGGATGTTGCCTGGCTCCCTTTAAAGTCTGCACAAAGATAAGCAGGTGTCAGGCCAATGCCACAGGACTGGCATTTGGGAGATGGAACGCCACTGGCCCAAGTAAGGAGAGGAGTTGTGTAACCTTGGGCCACCCGTGGTCACTTGTCACACGACAGGTTCTGCTCAGCTGACATCTAAGGTTCTGTGGGGCTCTATATTCTACCAACTTTTTGGAATTGCAGGAAAAGTCTGCACCTGTCATTTTCTTCACTCCTCTCTGTCTTCCTGGGGTTATCAGTGCAAGCAATTTTTGTAAAACCCCTTGGGAATGCCACGGAACAGTTCTATGCTTTCTCAGCAACC